AGCTAGGTAGCTAGGTAGCTAGGTAGGTGGGTAGGTAGGTAGGTAAGTAGGTAGGTAGGTAGGCAGGCAGGCAGGCAGGCAGGCAGGCAGGCAGGTAGGTAGGTAGGTAGGTAGGTAGGACACCCCGATTTAAGCTCATTGTTCACCTCACTGACCTTACTGATTTGCTTGTTGGTTGGTTGGTTCGTTGATTGGTTGGTTGACTGACTGGCTGGCACTGGCTTGCAGAAGAAGTGTTGGGTAACGAAGGTGGCCATAGCTTATTGCGCTTCTACAAAGCAGGCTCCCTGGTTCAGTCTCAAGCGGCCTCCGTGGTCTTGCGTTGGACGGCCTCAAAGACGTTGATGGGAGAAGAAATAGCTGCTGCCTGCAATACGATATGCTTAGCGTTTATTTAGGGTGTGTTAGAGAGGGGAGGGGGGCCGAAGCACCTTGCACGACCCGAACCCTCAATGCTGGAGCTAGGCTCTTAGCATTCCCAGATAGACGGCTTCTAACCCAAGGCCCGCAATGAACAGTCAATGACTTTGCTTGTAGGTTTCAAGTTTCTTGATGGAGTACGGCCTGCTCAGTAAAGCTAGCATCCTTGAGACTCCAGAGGGTCTAGGGCTAAGTGAGATTTGAGAGAATTCGATGTTGGTCTATCGCGGAATGTGTAGTGAGGTCCACGGCCGAGACGACAGCGTTTTCAATCTGGTGTGAAGTTTAAGTAAGGCTGAGGCACCGCTGTCCTTTAAGGAGGCTTGGCAGGGCACCATCCTGAATCGATCTGGCCAGGCCTAGGAAGGACAACACTGGAAAGAGGCCGCTCAAACAAGCTAGCATCAGGCCGTCAATTCGTTCTACGGTTTTGGGGCTCAGGCTTTTGGGACACGACACATCCCGCATTCGCAAGGCCTTACTGTAAATCCCACAAACATGCACACAAAATCCCCAAGCCCTTTAAAAAGGCGCCAAAACAGCCCCAAGCATCCCGATCCTTGCCTCTCGAATAGATTGTGGCTGGAAGCCCTCGCAGTCAGAATGTTTTTTTTGGTTTTTGTTATGCCACCTGGGGTTCCTGGGGAATTTCTCGGTTTTGAAGACTTTCCTGGTATGTATGCATTCATGCATGCATGCATAGAGTAGCAGGAGTTTCCCCAATGGTTTAGGGAATCATGGTTTCGAATTGCCTCGAAGTTGAGTTGAGTAGCTCTGCAAGAGACAATAGAAAGAATTTCGTGCTGCCCAACATTTGCGAAGCAGTTCAGCGCACACCGCAAGCCGCACGAGTAAATGTGCATTCGGAAGCCTTGCACTATGTCCCAGTACATGCCCAGAGAGCCAATACCCCTTAAAGAATAAACCCTAAACTGTAGTGGAGGTGGATTCATGTTAGCGTTGCCCGGGGATTTGCGATTCAACGCACACGTTTAACATAGCCTACCCCCTCCCAAACCTTTTCCAAATCCGTACCACTGCCGCCACAAACTTAAACTTGGCCTCCCCATGCCGAACCGTGGTGCAATCGACAGCGATTTGAAACATAGCCTGTCCCTACTAAGCACATCTCAGATCCGAAGGCCCCGGCCATGATCTCCAGGAAGCTTGTGTCACCTTCTAGCGAAAGCTTCGCGCTTAAGGCTTGCCGCCTCGGGTCTAATGACAGTCTCTAGTGTTTAGGGCTCAAGGTTCGTTCAGGGTTTACGCTCTCACAACTC